CAACAAGCCTTTGAGCAAATTAAACGCGAGATAGTTCATGCAGTAGCCCTTGGACCAGTCCGGACCGGACCAGATGTAAAAAATGTACTGTACACTGCAGCTGGGGAGAACGGTCCTACCTGGAGCCTCTGGCAGAAAGCTCCAGGGGAGACTCGAGGTCGACCCCTCGGCTTTTGGAGTCGGGGATATAAAGGATCTGAGGCCAGCTATACCCCAACTGAGAAAGAAATACTGGCAGCCTATGAAGGGGTTCGAGCTGCTTCGGAAGTGATTGGCACTGAAGCACAGCTCCTTCTGGCACCCCGGCTGCCCGTGCTGGGCTGGATGTTCAAAGGCAGGGTCTCCTCTACACATCATGCAACCGATGCTACATGGAGTAAATGGGCTGCACTAATTACACAACGAACTCGAATAGGAAATCCCAGTCGTCCAGGCATTCTAGAAGTCATCATGGACTGGCCAGAGGGCAAAGATTTCGGAATGTCACCAGAGGAGGAGGTGATGCGCGCTGAAGAGGCCCCACCATATAATAAACTGTCAGAAAGTGAAAAGCAGTATGCCTTGTTTACTGATGGCTCTTGCCGTATTGTGGGAAAACATCGGAGATGGAAGGCAGCTGTATGGAGTCCTGGACGACAAGTTGCAGAAACTGCTGACGGAGAGGGTGAATCGAGTCAGTTTGCCGAGGTGAAAGCCATCCAGCTGGCCCTGGACATTGCTGAACGAGAAAAGTGGCCAGTACTTTATCTCTATACTGACTCATGGATGGTGGCAAATGCCCTGTGGGGGTGGTTGAAGCAGTGGAAGCAGAGCAACTGGCAACGCAGAGGTAAACCCATCTGGGCTGCTGCACTGTGGAAAGATATTGCTGCCAGGGTGCAGAACCTGGTGGTGAAGGTACGTCATGTAGATGCCCATGTACCCAAGAGTCGGGCCACTGAGGAACACCAGAACAACCAACAAGTGGATAAAGCGGCTAAGATTGAAGTGGCTCAGATGGACTTAGATTGGCAACGTAAAGGTGAATTATTTTTGGCCCGGTGGGCCCATGACACTTCAGGCCATCAGGGCAGAGATGCAACATATAGATGGGCCCGTGACCGAGGGGTGGACTTAACAATGGACACTATTGCCCAGGTTATTCATGAGTGTGAAACATGTGCTGCAATTAAACAAGCCAAGCGGTTAAAGCCTCTTTGGTATGGAGGACGATGGTTGAAGTATAAATATGGGGAGGCCTGGCAGATTGACTATATCACACTGCCACCAACCCGCCAAGGCAAGCGCCATGTGCTTACCATGGTGGAAGCAACCACCGGGTGGCTGGAAACATACGCCGTGCCCCATGCCACTGCCCGGAACACCATCCTGGGCCTTGAGAAACAAATTTTGTGGCGACACGGCACCCCAGAGAGAATTGAGTCAGACAATGGGACTCATTTCCGGAATAACCTTATAGATATTTGGGCCAAAGAGCATGGCATTGAGTGGGTATATCACATCCCCTACCATGCACCAGCCTCTGGGAAAATCGAACGGTACAATGGACTGTTAAAAACTACACTGAGAGCGATGGGTGGGGGAACTTTCAAGCATTGGGATACACACTTACCAAAGGCCACCTGGTTGGTCAACACCAGAGGATCTGCCAACAGGGCTGGCCCAGCCCAGTCAGAACTGTTACATATTGTAGAGGGGGACAAAGTTCCCGTGGTGCATATGAAGAATTTGCTGGGAAAGACAGTCTGGGTAATTCCTGCTTCAGGTAAAGGCAAACCCACTCGTGGGATTGCTTTTGCTCAGGGACCTGGATATACTTGGTGGGTAATGCGGGAAGATGGGGAAGTCCGATGTATACCTCAAGGGGATTTGATTTTAGGGGAAAACAGCCAGTGAACTCAATTGTATGCTGTTGCCTGCTGTGTAATGCTTTTATAGCCCATCAACTAGATGTCTCCAGGTCACCAGCGACTGGCCCTGACTTCCCTCCAGCCATCATCCCAACAGAGAATGAACTTTGAACATCATGGACCGAATGGACTCGGCAGCATTATAGGGATTGGTCCATGCACTAAGAAAATGATTTTTCCTCTTGGTCTGTATGTATATGGATGTATATATGTGGGAGAGCGATGGTGTATTGAAAAATGTGGGATCTGAGCACGCAAAGTCCTTGGCCAAACCTAAACATCACTATCAGCTCTGTTCCCAAGCTGAAAGTCAAAACACTGCACTGCACCAGCTACCAAGAAGGGGAAAAATGAGTGCTACTGCTGAACCCAGGACATTATCCACCCCTTATTCCATACCATTCACGTCATGCTCAGATCCCACATTTTCAGTACACCCATCACTCCACTCTTATCTAAGTGCATGGACTATAAAGCTATATCCCTATAAAGCTGCTGAGTCCATCTGGTCCATAATGTCAGGCTCCATCTCTTGTAACAGTCTTCCAGAGCAGGAGAGACTGTGTGCAGTGTTCACACTCGTGAATAACCTGGGCAATAGTGTCCATTGCTAAATCCACCCCTCGATCATGAGTCCATCTCTATGTGGCATCTCTGCTCTGATGGCCTGAAGTGCCATGGGCCCACCAGGCTCAAAATAATTCACTGTCCCCTTAAGCAGTTTCTGCAGCTTGTTGCTGGGGACTCCATACAGCTGCCTTCCATCTCCGACGCTTCCAAAGCACTGGAGGGGCCCAGTGGACTAGATACTTGCCCATACTGTCCCACACACCCTGCCACTCATGACTGTCCAGCCTTGGGGAAAACCTCTTGGTCCCCCTATATTGTTGTCTAACCCCAGACAAGACCCAAACCTGACTCTGCTTAACTTTTGAGATCAGACAAAATGGTTGTGGGTAGCACACAGTCTGTGTGTGTGCCAACATGCTGATCCCCATCACAATCAGCAGGCAGGTCCCAAGGATGCCCAAAGGCCATTCAAAACCTTCAGAACTCTCACACGATGCTGCTGTACTTGTCACTGGGGCTGGTGCAGCTGCTGTGCTTGCCGGCTCTGCCACCACCAGCTTCTCTTTTCCTGAGTCCAGCTCTTCCTCCTCTGCCTTGCTGGGAAATGCTGCGTGGCCTCCTGCATCCTCCTGGGGCTCGGCGGGCGGCTTCCGGGAAATGCTCTCGGCCGTCGCGGGGCTCGGCTCGGCCGCGGGGCTCGGCTCCTCCGCGGGGCTCGGCTCCTCCGCCGCCTTCTCCCGCTGCTCGGCAGCCGCTTCCTTCCTCTCCTCGACCGCCCCGACCTCCTCCACCGGCAGCCGTCCCCTCGCGGCCTCCGGCCCCGCTCCCGCCGCCGCTTGGTCCCCGGGGCCGCTCTCCCGGGCCGCTTCGGCTGCCGCCGGCTCCCGGGGCCGCTCCCCCGCGGCGCCCCGCAGCCTCACGAAGATGGAGAGTAGGGTGAGGGCCAGGACGGTGAAGAGCAGCCGGACGGCCAGGTACAAGTCCACGGCCACGTCCGTCCCGCCCTGCTGCTGGAGCCCGCCCGTATTACAAGCCATTGCCATAAAGCACAGTGAGACAAGAACCTTAGCCCAAGCCCCATACTTGATAAACACTATCACAGCAAATACCGGCTCTACGTAAGTTACAACATTCTGAAGCTGTGAGATCAAGCAAAACAACTCTGAGACCCAATAAATCAGCATTGTGACGAGTGACTATTAATCCGGTCAGATCTGTCGTTATCTCAACCCTTCGTGCCCCACGTTGGGCGCCAAAAAGAACTGTCGTGGTTTAAACCCAGTCAGGTAACTCGTTCGCTCACCTTCCCCCCTTTCTTGCCCTCCCCCTGCTCCCGGAGGGACGGAGAGGAGAATCAAAAAGAATGCAACTCCCACGGGTTGAGATAAGAACAGTTTAGTAACTAAGGTATAACACAAATCACTACTGCTACCACCAATGATAATAATGATAAAGGAAATAACAAGGGAAGAGAATACAACACCTCACCACCAGCCGACCGATAACTCGCCCCCCAAGCCCGACCAAGCTCTGACCGATACCTCCTCCAACCCTGCAGTCCCCCAGCCCTTCCGGCTAACTCCCAGTTACATCCTGGGCATGACATGCTGTGGTATGGAATACCTCTTTGGTCAGTTTGGGTCAGGTGTCCTGTCTCTACTTCCTCCTGGCTTCCCCTCCTCCCTGGCAGAGCATGAGGCTCACAAAGTCCTTGGCCAAACCTAAACATCACTATCAGCTCTGTTCCCAAGCTGAAAGTCAAAACACTGCACTGCACCAGCTACCAAGAAGGGGAAAAATGAGTGCTACTGCTGAACCCAGGACAGTTCCGCAGTAGCAGTCATGTTTTTCCTTTGTGTTAACTGGTACAGTGCTGTGTTTTGACTTCCAGTTTAAGAACAGTGTTGGTGAAGCCGATGTTCTCGGTTGTTGCTAAGTGATGTTTACCCTGACCAAGGACTCTGTGAGGCTCATGCTCTGCCAGGGAGGAGGGGAGGCTGTGAGGAAGCAGAGACGGGGCGCCTGACCCGGGCTAGCCGGGGAGGTATTCCATACCACAGCACGTCATGCCCGGGGTGAGGGGTAACTGGGAGTGACCCGGAAGGACAGGGGTTTCCGGGTGGAGCTCGTTTCTCTTGGCCGGTGGTATCGTATTCTCTTCCCTTGTTATTTTCCCTTATCATTGTTGTAGCTGATAGTAGCGGTGGTGATTTGTTGCTGGACTGTTTTTGTCTCAACCCGTAGGAGTTGCACTCTCTCGATCCTCCTCCCCGTTCCTCCGGGAGCGGGGAAGGGGAGAGCCCCGGTGCGGGGAGGCAGGGGGGAAGACGGACACGGACCTCGATTGTTGTCAGCTCGGCACCACTCACTGGGAGTGAGTGAACAAGCTACCTGACTGGGTTTAAACCACGACACAAGGTAACTGACTTCTGTGTAGGAACTGGGAAAGAAGATGTATAAAGTCATGAGGATTAGAGGAAAATCCCATTAGTTTAGAATTTCTTACTTGATGTAGAGTATTCATGTCCTGCATGATACAAGTCTTGTATGTTGCCAGCGGTTGAGCAGCGTCCTCACACACTTCAGCAAAGCCCCCTTCACCTCCTTATTCCTCAGGCTGTAGATGAATGGGTTGAGCATTGGGGTGACCACGGTGTAAAAGACAGAGTCCACCTTATCCAGCCTTCTATGGCTAGAAGGTTGTAGGTACATGAAGAATGCTGACCCAAAGTATATGGACACAGCCCTCAAATGGGAGGCGCAGGTGTGGAAGGCTCTGGCCCTGCTCTGTGCTGAGCACATCTTCAGCAAGGTGCGCAGGATAGAGATGTAGGAGAGAAAAATGACCACGCTTGTGCCCACTGCGTTGATGGTGACGAAGGCAAAGATGAGCATCTCGCTGCTGTGGGTGTCAGAGCACACGAGCTTTACTACAGGAACTTTGTCACAGAAGAAGTGGTCAATGCGGTTGGGAAGGCGAATAGGTAGGATGATGCTACCAGCTGCCAGCAGATGCGTCTGGAGATGATGGTCACATAAAGCAGGGGCTGGCAGATAGCAACGTGCCGGTCGTAGGCCATCATGGCCAGGAGGTGACACTCAATAGTAGCAAAGAAAACAAAGGTGAGGTGTAAGCGGCGAGGAGAAACAGACAAGCCAACCCAATATGGGTGATAAGCAACTTCTTATTTATTTGTGACGCAGTTCACACATATATAGGAGTGGTATTCAGCCACTCCTTCTTGGCATAACAGTATTGGTTAGCCCCCACAGCTTCCTACACATTCTCCTCCCAGGTCCGGTCCCCGGCCACCTGTGGGGGCCACCCCCTGCCTTGCTTGCACAGTCCTCCAGAACTCTATGGTTCTGCTCTTAGAGTCATTCTGCAACAATGAGGAACTGCATCATGCAGCCAGAGAAAGAAATGGTTTTGTCCTCTGATAACAGGTCTGCCAGCATCCTGGGGCAGATGACTGTGGAATAGCAGATGTCAGTGAAGGCAAAATGGGTAAGGAAGAAGTACATGGGGGTATGGAGGCTGGGAGACACCCGAACCAAGATGATAATGCCAAAGTTCCCCCAAAGTGACAATGTGAATCAATAGAAACAAGACAAAAAGAGGAGCTTGCGCATATGGGCTGTCTGTAATTCCCAACAGGATGAATTTAGTCTGCGTGTGATTTCCTCTCATGACCAGGTGTTACCTACCAAGGCAAAAGGAAGGAAAACCTCAAAATCATTGCAAACAGAAATTCACTTTTGGACCACATTTAAGTGCAATCGATCACCAGTTTAACTGCCATGTTTTGGTGGAATTAATATTTTGTATTGTACTTTTTAAACCCAAATTATATGATTTTGTTTTCATTTGAGGTATTTAGAAAGAACAGAGAGTGTGATGAAGCAAAAAATGCCATTTTTGTTCTTCTATGCTGAGAAACATAAACTATGGATTTATTCAAGAACTTGACTTTTCAGGTTTGAGTGAAGAATCAGATTCTTTACTCACTTTCAGATTGGAGGCAGTTTGCGTCAGAAGGCGGCTTAGAGGAACCTCATAGGAGCACACATAAACCTTGAGCAAGAGAAAGTCACATTCCCATTGAAATCGTAGCTTACACATTAATGACCTCCAGAATTTTCCTTTGGTTTTTAGTTCTAATGCCAGTCTTAAAATTGCATTTATCAAAGTGTTATACATAATTCAAAAAGGATAAAATTCACATTGCTAAAGTCATGATTTCTTCCTTTCTGAGTTCCAGCACGCTGAGGCACTCTCAACCTATGGGCATTATGTTGCTTGCCTTAGAAAAGAGTTGGTGTTATAAGAGGCTGATTCCAAAGGCTGATTTGTTAGTGACCATATTCTGTTGACAATCTGAAATGCTGCATTTCTTTATAACAAAATAAGATTCATCCTCATTTAACTCTTGAATAAATCAGTTCATCTTGCTTTAGCTGCCTATGTAAAAGAAACACAACCTGAATCAGACATTGCTCCCTCTTCTTATAAAGAAAACCCGCATTGGTAAGGCTATTTTCTGACACAACTTTACCAAAGAGGATGAGAGAACATGAAGAAGCAAACCCACTGCCTCACTGAAGGTGAGGCTCTGCTTTGTGTTGATGTTACCTCCTGTGCCTTCCCTCTGTCACCGAGTGATGGGAGCCAAGGGTTTATCCCCAGTGCAGCAGAGAACATCCACACACAGGCATCAGCTCTGTTAAGCACCTGATGTGAAGAGAGGTGAGCTCCTGCCAGACTCCAAGAGCCCAGCTTGTGGTGCTGGGGCTGTAAATACAGTTGCATGTGCTCTCCTGGGAGGAAGCCTCCAGGGCTGCTCATGCTTTCCCAGAGGAAAACAAAGAGAAGCAAAAAGCAAAGGGTGTGAAATCACCTCTGAAAGGCATTGTGGTGCTTGGGCATCTGAGAGTCATGGAGTGCATGAGCTGTCTTTGAGCACAGCCACACGGCAGCACCAGTGATGAGCAGCTCTTGGGATGCTTCTGACATACTTGTGGACTATGCCAAGCATTCTAACTCTCATTGCCAACAGAATGAGAGTGGGTTTAGACCCAACAGCCCAGCCAGTGCTCACTGTTCTGCTAGTCCCTCTCCACCCAGATCATACTTCTACATTGGCAACTTAGGAGATAGTCTATTCAGTGAGGGAAATTAAAGTGAGAAATTCAATATTACAGTCAAGTGTTGTTTTCTGGTCCGATTTCAAAGGCCTCTGTCCTTCCTAACTTTTCAGCATTTAATTGCATCGACTGTGGCTCCTTTGTTGACCACAAGTAGAAGACACTTTTCTCCTGACCTAAGTCACCCTCAACAGGCTTAATTTGTAAGTGACATAGACAATTTGGTTTTCCCTGGTGTGCTTTAACATGAGCTGGGCATGGACATGGTATGTGGGTGCTTATTTCCAGCTTATTTCCATTTATCTCACCATTTAAGTAAATAGGACTTAAGAAATGTACAACACCCCTTAATTCTGAATCTGATGAGCCCTTAATGTGCCCAAATACTCCTTACCACTGGGTGGTCTCAGCACAGCTCATCATTCTCAGTTATGAATTCTATTGCTTACAATTCCCTTCTTTGAAGTGAAATCTCTTGTGAAGCTGCAGCCTGGAGAGGGATTCCCCCTGATATTCAAAGCTGGAGCTTGAGACCTTGATTCCCACCAGCTTCTTCTCTTTGAAAGGCACAAACAAATGCAATCAATCTTTTGAAACCTTTTCTCTGACTCTTTTTCAGCAAGCAAATGTAAAACTACACTTGCTCTTCCCTCCCACCCCAGCAGCTTTAATAAAGAACTCACAGGTAAGAGTGAGGAATTCTATTGGAGCTGAGGAACAAGGTCAAGAATCTTGCAATGAAAATACACATTTATGAATGACAAATGTTAAATATGAATAAAGCTGATTGGTGTTTCCTGTGAGGAAAAGAGGCCTGGGATTATTGAGGGTAATTTCTTCTTCTAGGAGCGGGCCTGCGAAGTGAAATGAACTTTGAGGCTCAATCTCCTCTTGGTTTTCTTCCAAGAATGGTGTGATTTTGGGGGTCTGTTTCTCATTCAGTACTATCATAGACTTTTGTGCAGAAACTGTGGAAGAACTTCCGTAAAGTCATGAGTATCAGTGGAAAACCTCAATATTTCAGTGCCCCATTGGCTTTCACACTGCACATGAACTGTTCATGTCCCAGATGACAAAACTCTTCTATGTTGCCAGTGGCTGAAGAATGTTCTCCCGCACTTCAGCAGAGCCCCCTTCACCTCCTTGTTCCTCAGGCTGTAGATGAATGGGTTGAGCATGGGGGTGACCATTGTGTAGATGATGGAGGCCACCTTATCCAGGCTCCTGTGGCTAGATGGAGGTTGTAGGTACATGAAGAATGATGTCCCAAAGAACAAGGAAACAGCCATCAAATGGGAGGCACAGGTGTGGAAGGCTCTGGCCCTGCTCTGTGCTGAGCACACCCTCAGCACAGTACAGAGAATAGAGATGTAGGAGAGCAAAATGATCATGCTCGTGCCCACCACGTTGATGGTGACAAAGGCAAAGATGACCATCTCGCTGCTGTGGGTGTCGGAGCACACGAGCTTTAGAACAGGGACAACATCACAGAAGAAGTGGTCGATGCGGTTGGGACCACAGAAGGAACCTCCAAACGTGCACCACGTGTAGACGATGGCACTGAGGAAGGCAAAGAGGTAGGATGATGCTATCAGCTGCCAGCAGACGCGGTTGGAGATGATGGTCACATAAAGCAGGGGCTGGCAGATAGCAACGTGCCGGTCGTAGGCCATCATGGCCAGGAGATGACACTCAATAGTAGCAAAGAAAGCAAAGGTGAGGAACTGCATCATGCAGCCAGTGAAAGAAATGGTTTTGTCCTCTGATAACAGGTCTGCCAGCATCCTGGGGGAGATGACTGTGGAATAGCAGATGTCAGTGAAGGCAAAATGGGCGAGGAAGAAGTACATGGGGGTGTGGAGGCTGGGAGACACCCGAACCAATGTGAAAATGCCAAAGTTCCCCACCTGAGTGACAATGTAAATCACTAGAAACAAGACAAAAAGAGGAGCCTGGGCACATGGGCTGTCTGTAATTCCCAACAGGATAAATTTAGTCTGCGTGTCATTTCCTCTCATGACCAGGTGTTAGCTGCTGAGGCAAAAGGAAGAGAAACATCAAACTGATCAAAAATGGACATTCAGATTTGGACCATATCTAACTCCAATCCAACCATTTTAACTGCCATAGAATAACTGCAAACAGAATTTTCCATTTTATTTTCTAACCAAAATTATATCTATTTTATGTTTTTCAGATGAGGTAATCAGAAAAGAACATGGAGTTTCTTGAAGCAAAAAAGGGCATTTTTGTTTTTCTGTGGTGGAATAGTTAAAACTCTGGAGTTACTCAGGCACGTGTGTTTTCAGGTTTGAGCAAAGATTCAGATCTATATTCACTTTCAATTTGAAGGAAATTTGTATCAGAAGACACCTCAGAGGAACCTCATAGGATTGCATGTAATCGTGGATCAAGAGAAATTGTCAGGTGCAGTGAAAGCCCCTCTTACACATGAATGACCTCCAGACATTTTCCCTCGGCTTTTACTTATCATTCCAGTCACCAAATCACATTTACAAAACTATTTGAGATCATTTACATCAAATAACATTGACATTGGTAAATTCATGATTTATACACTTCTGAGTTACAGCAGGCTATAGCATCTTAAACATATGGGCATTAAGTTTCTTGCTTTAAAAAGGAATTTGTGTTCTAACAGGCTGATTCCAAAGGCTCATTTGTTAGTGATTATATTCTGATGACAATCTGAACTGTTGCATTTCTGTATAACAGAATAAGAGTCATCTTCATTTAACTCTTGAATAAATCAGTGCATCTTGTTTTAGCTGCCTATGCAAAAGAAACACAGCATGCATCAGACATTACTCCCCCTTATAAAGAAAACCCACACTGGTAAGGCTGTTTTCTGACACAGTTTTACCTAAGAGGACTCAAGAACATGAAGACAAAAGCACACGGCCTCAACGCAGGTGAGGCTCTGCCTTGTGTTGGTATTACCTCCTGTGCCTCCCCTCTGCCATCAAGTGATGGGAGTCAAGGGTTTATCTCCAACGCAGCAGAGAACATCTACATGTCAGCATCACTTCTGTTAAGCACCTGATGTGAAGAGAGGTGAGCTCCTGCCAGACTCCAAGAGCCCAGCTTGTGGTGCTGGGGCTGTAAATACAGTTGCCTGTGCTCTCCTGGGAGGAAGCCTCCAGGGCTGCTCATGCTTTACCAGAGGAAAACAAAAGGAAAGGAAAAGCAAAGGGTGTGAAATCACCTCTGAAAGGCATTGTGGTGCTTGGGAATCTGAGAGACATGGTGTGGGTGAGCCATCCCTGAGAACAGCTACACATGGGTTCATAGGATGCTTCCTACATACTTGTGGACCATGCAAATGTTTTGGTCTGAACATACAGACACAATGAAAATGGGTTTATAGACATTCCAGATCTTGCACACAGTCCTCAAAAGGAACATGAAGAACAAGTGATTCCATCTCTGGAGCTGCTGATGCTCCTCTGTGGAGGGTGAACCCAGTTTTCCAGCCCAAATGGGGTTATTCACATGTAGTGTCTGATGTCCAGCAGCTGAGCGGGTGCATCAGGACTTCCACTGTATTCAATGCATTTTGAGGCAGGGAAATCCCAGGGTGAACTAACAGGCCTTTATCCCCCTGACCAGCCTCAGCTGGGGGGTCTCTATTTAAGCTCAGAACAGGCAGATTAGTCTTCCAGCAGCCAAACTTGTGACCAGCAAAAGGAATTGAAGATGGGTGGAAAGCTGCTTCATTGCCTGTGGCGCCTGACGACATGCTGGTACCAGCTCCCATTATCTACCTGCCATGATAATGTCAACCAGGCCCTCATGGAGCTTTAAATACCTCAGAAATGCTCCAAAAGTGGATGTGAATTCCATGTTCTGGGGAGCCCAAAGCTGAAGCTGAGGTCATCTCCTCTGGGTACACTTGTTCTCCAAACTAATCAACACAGGTTAGCTTGGTGTCAGAGAAGAAGAGCATTGTTATGCTGCGTGCGTAGCTCAGGTCCTCATCATGATATCTTTGGGATAGAATGCTTCCTGCTGGCTGCAATGGCCTATTGGCCATTTGCCATCCCCTGCTGTACCTCCTTGTCATGTCCCCAAGTGCTGTTTCCAGCTGGTGACTGCCTCGTACCTCGTGGGGCTTGTGTTGTCAAACTGTCCTTCTGCAGCTCCAGCGCCATCAGCCTCTTCTTCTGTGACATTTCCCCTCTCATCTCACTCTCCACCTCTGACACCACCCTCAGCCACATCATCCTGACCACTGCAGCAACTCTCTTTGGTGTGTCCAGCAGCCTGGTTGTCCTGCTCTCCTATGTGGCCATCATCGCCACCATCCTGAGCATCAATTCAGCTGAGGGCAAGCGCAAAGCCTTCTCCACCTGCACCTCCCACCTCACCACTGTCAGCATCTTCTATGGGGCATGCTTCTTTACATACTTAAACAACAGCTCAAGAGGAGGAGATAAATGGGCTGTGGTGCTCTACACTGTGGTGCCACCCATGCTGAACCCCTTGATCTACAGCCTGAGGAATAAGGAGGTGAAGGAGGCTTGTGAGGCTCACAAAAATAAAATGATCTTGAGCAAAATTTCCAGAAGATGGAAATGTAGAGGGTAGATTGCTCAGCTTTGGTATGGATAACCTGACATTGCCCAGCCTTATGTGGCACTGGTTGAGGTGACTGAGAATACAAATAATTTCATTCTCTAAACTTTGATAAATATATTTAATAGTTATTTTCACCTAATTGGTTAATTAGTCATTTATTTCACCTAATCAAGGCTCAGGTAGACAACTACAAGTCTCTTCATCTTAGGTGGACCTGAATGCTCTACACCTGCTGACAGGAAGATGGAGCCATTATAAAACTGTTCTCTGCTCCCAAGGAAGAAGGGATGGGACAAGAGGAGACGGCCTCAAGCTGCACCAGGGCAGGTTTAGATGGAGCTTGAGGAACAGACCAGAGGATGCATTGGAACAGGCTGCCCAAAAGCTGCAGTCACCGGCCCTGCAAGTGCTCACAAAGTGTGGACAAGGCCCTCTGTGCCACGGGTTAGTGGTGGCCTTGGCAGTGCTGGGGTGAAGCTTAAAGCTCTTTTCCTTTTTGCTCTCCCTTTTGCTTGGCAAATGAGAATAAACTGAGAGTGAGGCTATCGTTGCACTGAATCAAATTACATTTCTAGACAGTGTTGTTAAATTCATTGAAAGCCTTAAGAAAAACAAAAATAAGAAAAGGACAAAAACACCTTCAGCTTTTAGAAATGATAGCAAATAAGTGTGATGCCATGCAGTCAGTATTATTAGGTTTTGATGTACAAAATGATTTCCAGCACCATTCACCTCATTTCATTTTAGACAGCCAAGAATTTAAGTGAAATATGGTACTTGTGTTATGACTGAACGCGCTTTGAAAGCGTTTTAAGACGTGATAGTGATGAATCCACACCAAAGGGCAGAAACTATCAAGGAATCCCCATCCACTGCTCCACACCTTTGCTTTCCATTCCCCTGTTGGCAGCAATAGAAGCCATGATCTCCATGGTCACAACAGAGCACAGGAACTGTGGTGCTGCTCATCAGCCTTCAGACCTCCTACGTGGCAGCCCATGGCAGCCTGGAGCAATGGCATTGCCTGCCCTAACGCCTCTCCTGCTGCCTTCCTGCTCAGAGAGCTGAATGATGATGGACACACATTGTATACATAAACCACCCCAAAATACTGCACTGTGTGCATTACCTCAGCCCATAGAGCTGCAGCCACTGCCAGGACCATGGTGAAACCTGGAGCCATGGCTGAGCCTTAGGGCTATCCTAGAGACACATAATAACCTAGGCTGGAGGGAGAAGCTCCATGATTGAATTGAATCAAGCCAGGATCAAAGTGTTTGCTGATTCCTTAACAACACATCTAACAGGCACCCAGGATCAATCAGCTTAATCCTGCTTTGTTCCCAAAGCTTCCTGATAATTCTCCGGTTATATTCAATGACTTTATGTCCAGCTGCTCTCTCCTTCACCATCACCAAGTGTTTAAACAGGAACATGAGCTCTTAGTGTCTTAAAAACACAAGTCTGTGGCTACAACCCTATCGCTCTGCTCATTGTGGCTTCACATTGGAGCTGCTGCTCTCAAACCCAAAAGCTTTTTGCTCCTTGTTGTGTGTGTTTAAGGAAACCAGTGGTTTGCTGTGTCTAAGGGCTGCCACTGCCTTCAATGGGGTTATCATCTGACCAGGAGAGCAGAGCAAACACCACATGATGTTCCAGGAAGCAGAAGCAGCAGCCAGCATTGCAATGCATCTTCCTGCTGGGTCATGATGAGCAGGCAATGAGGTGCCTGGCTTCTGGCATTCCTGCTGAGGAGCTCCTAATGGCTTTAGCTCCCCACTCTCAGGTGGAGCTGCTTTCATTGTAGTTAAATCTGGTTTAAAGGCAGCTGAGCAAATGCTGGGTAGGAGCTACCTCCCCTTTTTGGGTACTTAGTGACTGGATTTAGGAATCACCTCAAATGTCCTTAGGGAAGCACTTATCTCCTTACATTTGAATGCACCATGTCACCTCTATGTGTTTACTGGGTCCATCAGCTCCCTTTAGTGTTGAGGGAGATTTGGTGGGCTTCATGCCTCTCACTGCAAGGCAGACACCTCCATTGCTCCAGCTGAAGAGATCTGAATGAGCTCTGCTGATTGCATTGGCCTGAGTCTCCTTAGCTGTAATGGGACCTTGGCTCATAAATAGGTAAGGAGATACACTCATTTTTGGTTCTTAGTATTAGCTGTGGCTTCAGCTGGGTGAGACAAATATTCTGATAGGTTAAAAGGGACCCAGAAGCAAGTGAATTATGGGTTTTCCCTTTGGTTGAAAAGGTTTTGAAGATCAGGGTTTCAAATGTGTAGATCCTGCGCTAAGGTTGTGATGCCCCCTGTTGTGTAAATGTATGGAAAGAACCAGGAACATTGAGTGCTGTTTTCTTGTCTCCAGGTTAACTGGAAATAGAGCTGTCTTGGTTTGGTCTTACTCCTTTTGAATTTGGTTACTAGGATATTTCTCTTATTTTTGG